GAACCTTCTAAAATCACGTTCTAGGTCAGATATATAGATTAATATACCAGGGTTGATGTGGTTTGGACATTCGAACCTTGGTAGCTCGGTCAGTATGGCCATGAACTTTTAATCTGAGGGCCCAGGTTTCAAATCCCTGTTCAGGTGTCGCTGTGTTTCTCCTTTTTTCTTTCCATTTCTTCATTTTTAACCCAATATGTACAGTATTCTTTCCTTATCAACGGGAGATATGTTCCAAGACACCCAGTGAATGCCTGAAACCTCGGATAGTACCATAGTATACTATGTTTTTTCGATCTGATAACCAGGATGAGTACTAAGTGATTAACGTGTGAGGAGAGCATACCCCGTGGATACTCTGGACAAAGTGATGATCCTCGGGCGAGTGGGAGATTTCATGACGCTACTGAGAAAGGGGAGTTATTTGAAACTTATGCATTTTTTATTTCTGGAAGTTTAATTTAATATTTTGGACCACGGTTGAAGGGGGTAACTGAGACAGCGGAAGGGAAACTACGGACAAGGCGAGAGAGGTTACTGCAGTTAAAGGGAGGAAGGTAAGGTCAAGTCACAGGCTGATATCCCCGAATAAATGAAGGACTCTTGAGCTGACCATAGATCTCATAACCTAGGAGCTGTTTAGAAAATAGATGGGCCTTTTGGAAAGGGAGCCTCAGTGCACAAAGTTTTTCATCTGGAATAGGAATAAAGTTGCAATAACAATGGTTACAAGTTGTTAAAGGTTAAACTCTTTCTTGAAAAGCAACAAAAATGCAAAGGCTCCCTGTTTTCTCCATTAGCGTGCTCCTTTCTGATCCCCTGTTTTGCTGAGCCCTGGGGCTGCCTAGGTAAACAGACGTGGTTCCTCACTCAGAACTTGGGCCTAGTGGCAGTAGCTTTCATGTTTTTGGTAGTGACCTACAATTTGAAGTTTAGTGTACATCGTCAGTCATACATAAGTAACAGAAACAAAAGTTGCATGAACTGTTCCTTTTACCAGACACTGCGTTCTGATTATTTCTGATTCTAGTCTATTCTAACTGAAATTTACGTATCTTTCACCTGCTAATACAATTGAAAGAGAAGTAACTGTGACTCTGTCACCAAGAAAAATCACATATTTCTGTATACAATATAAATACAGTTGTTACAAATACCCAAGACAACTGTTTCAAAATTACAGCAGTCATAAGACGGGTCTTGAAGTTTAATATTTAATGCCTTAATGAGAAGCACACATTACTCTGAAATTATTTTAATCGTTTGATAACTGTTTTGTAGTATAATTGGCTTTCTTTGAAATCCTGTGTATTTTTTTAATTTTTCAAAACTACAATTTTTGAAAAGGGCTCCATGGGCTTCCTGCTGGGGCCAGAGGTCTCCCTGGGAGCTAAAAGATGAATCCCCGCAGAAATTCGCCATTTTTGAGGAGACCACTGTCGGGTACCTGCCATCCCCTTCCGCAGCAACTCCACTAATGAGGACTAGGGGTTAGCTCTGGCTCCTGAGGCCGGAACAAGGTCTTTAAAGGTCTAAGGTGAAATTCCGGGTGGGAGCTCAGTCAAGCCTCCCCTACCCAACTGGGAATCAGTGAGCCAACCAGAGCCGGCCCCGCCAGGCGACACCAAGAGGCGCTGACCTCCCAGGCCTCGAGGGCATCGGAAGTACGTCCCAGAGCGAGCGGCCAGAGGGGCGGGGCGTCGCGGCGCTTGGGCCGCGCTCTTGGGTACCCCAAGTAGGGCTCCTCCAGGCCATGTTGATGACCCAGGCTGAAAGCCATTGGAGAGTTTTGAGAGAAGCCGGAGGTATTTTTTTTTCTTTTTCTTTTTCTTTTTTGTTTTTTGAAACGGAGTCTCACTCTATCTCCCAGACCGGATGGAGTTCAGGGGAGCGATCACGGCTCACTGCAACCGAGGGAGGTACATTTTACCAGGAGCTCTGTCAGAGGCATTCGAACCAGAGCGACTCCATTTTGAGTGAGGGCTAGGAAAACGAGGCTGGAACTTTTGCTGGGCTGCATTCCCAAAAAGTCAGGCATTCCTAGCCTCTAGATATTTATGGTTAAGGAAACAAATTAATAATGTTTAGTAAACAGACCCAGACTTGGGAGTGTCCAGATGTCCCTACATCTGGAGAACAAAGGCATTCGAAATTTTGCTTTAAATATAATATTATCGGTTCTTACAAAATATAATAAGAAAATTAATCCTTTATCACAAACCCTTGTAGCAGAGCACATCTCCCCATATATATAAGTATTGTACCTAGGGTGGATGCGTTCCTCAGTGTTTCAGGAACACCCTACACTTATCTATGGAGTAGCTGTACTTTCACTACTTAACTTTCCTTTATTTATTTGTTATTATTATTATACTTTAAGTTCTAGGGTACATGTGCATAACGTGCAGGTTTGTTACATATGTATACTTGTGCCATGTTGGTGTGCTGCACCCATCAACTCGTCATTTACATCAGGTATAACTCCCAATGCAATCAAACAAAATACTCTAGATCACTCAGGCTGATATATGTCTAAATTTATGTTTGTCTAAATGTAAAGTTTAATGAGAACAATGCTACTCAGCTCATAGGGTTTTCGAAATAAAATTATTCATATAAGTCACTGGGCAGTTGGGCAAACAACACTTAATAATTCTCTTTTATTATAGTCGGAAACCTGATATAATTTGGTTATTCATCTTAATTATTTTTTGATCCAACAATAATTTATTGAACATCTGTGTACCTAAGATGACAGCAAGAGGGGGAAAAAAGAATAAAAGTAAACATCTATGCACCATTCTCTTAACATCTTTGTAAACGTTATTGTTCTTACTAGAAGGCTTTTTCCCACTCCTTGCTTGACCAGCTCCTTTCTGTTTTCATTTTGTTGGTCATGTGTCAACATACTACAGGAAGTCTTCCCTAAGGCCTCTTCATGCTCTGGCATCGGGGTTTGGGTCTCTTGCTGTGTTATAACAGAGAGCACACTACTGTATGGTGACCTATCTCTCTATCCCATTCAACGTTTTGTTTTGTTTTGTTTTGTTTTTTTGAGATGGAGTTTCACTCTGTCACCCAGGCTGGAGTGCAGTGGCGCCATCTCGGCTCACTGCAACCTCCACCTCCCCGGGTCAAGCGATTCTCCTGTCTCAGCCTCCTGAGTAGCTGGGACTGCAGGGATGCGCCACCATGCCTGGCTAATATTTTGGTATTTGTAGTAGGAGACAGGGTTTCACTATGTTGGTCAGGCTGGTCTTGAACTCTTGACCTCAAATGATCTGCCTGCCTTGGCCTCCCAAAGTGCTGAGATTACAGGGGTGAGCCACTGCACCTGGCTCTCATTCAATTTTGAGCTGAGAACAGGGAATATTTCTTTTATCCTTGATCCTAATCTGTTGTCAGGCATAAAGTGCAGATAAGTGTTTGTTGTTTAACAAATAAAATGGAGTGGGAATAGTTGAGCAGATGAAGGATGGTAATACAGCATGACAAAGTAGAAATGCCAGCAATTCACTATTACAAAGGAAAAAAATGCTATTATGTAATTCCAATTTTACTATATATGCTACTTATTGGTTTTAGTAAGGGCTCCATATGGAGTGTCCTGGGCCTCAGTTTTGTGGAGTAATCGAATCATCTTTTTTCCTTCTGTTTTTCAGTGGTGATGTAAGATTCTGGGAAATATTAATTTTTTTTCAAATCTCCAACAGAGCTTTATGCATCAATATGCTAATTAGGTAAATTGCAATATTAGTCATTTCCATAAAGTATCTCTAATTCTTTTCAAAACCTTGCAAAATAGGTATTAGTTCTTGCTTTGCTAGGGGAAACTGTGGCTTAGAAAGGCTAAGCAATCATCCAAACTTGGCATTATTTACTGCCAACTCTCCCAGACCTCTTCACGGTTCCATACTAGGTACAAATCATCAACATGTTTTGCCTAGATTGCTGTGACAGCTTACAGTCTATTGCTCATGCAGCAGCCATACATATACACGCATATATGAAACACCTTAGACTGCCATTTCTTTGCTCAAAACTCTAAGGGCACTGGGCATGGTGGCTCATGCCTGTAATCCCAGCACTTTGGGAGGCCAAGGCGGGCTGTTCACTTGAGGCTAGGAGGTTGAGACCAGCCTGACCAATATGGCAAAAACCCATCTCTTCTAAAAATACAAATAATAACAATAAAAATAAAAACATTAGCCAGGCCTGGTGGTAGGTGCCTGTAATACCAGCTACTCGGGAGGCTGAGGCAGGAGAATCGGGGGCGGAGGTTGCAGTGAGCAGAGATCGTGTCACTGCACTCCAGCCTGGGTGACAGAGTGAGACTCCATTTCAAAAAATAAACAAACAAAAGAAACAAAAAAGAAGAGACGCGGCCGGGCATGGTCGCGCACGTCTGTAATCCCAGCACTTTGGGAAGCTGAGGCGGGTGGATCACCTGAGGTCAGGAGTTCGAAACCAGCATGGCCAACATGGTGAAACTCCGTCTCTACTAACTAAAAATACAAACATTAGTCGGGTGTGGTGGTGCATGCCTGCAGTCCCACGTATTTGGAAGGTGAGGCAGAAGAATCGCTTGAACCCGGGAGGCAGAGGTTGCGGCGAGCCGAGATCGCATCACTGCACTCCAGCCTGGGAGACAGAGTGAGGCTCTGGCTGGGAAAAAAAAAAAAAATAATAATAATAATAATAATTAAAAAAAAAGCCGACACCAACACCTAGACTACACTGAGCATTAGAAAAAGAAATTATAGGTATAAGGACTAAAAAGAAACAAAATTGTTTGTATACACAGAATATATGGTTGTCTATGTAAAAAACAAAAACCCCACAATATGCAGATACAAGAATGAAAGGTAGCAAGGTTGCTGGATACAAAAATTGAAATCAACATTAGCTAAAACCAGAAAATGTAATAACTAAAAATATGCCATAGAAAGTAGTGTTAAAAAGCATAAAGTTCCCAGGAAATATTAACAAGAAGACCTTTATGGAGAAAATTATAAACTTTATTGAAAGATATTTCAAAGGCCTAAGTAAATGGAGAGCTGAACCATATTCATGTATTGGAAGACAACATTGTAAAGATGACATGGCTTACCAGATTAATCTATAAATTCAATACAAATCCAATCAAAATTTCAATGTTCTTGGGTTTGTTTGATTTACAAGTTGTTGATCTAATTCTAGAAGTAATATGGAGGAACAGTTGGCTAAGAATAGCCAAGACACTCCAAGGAAGAAAAATTTTGTGGTGATATTGGAGACAGAGGTGAAATTGGCTAAAATTATGACAAAATGTGGAGGCATCTTGGTTTTTATCAGACCTTTTCCTAAAGTTGCAATAATCAGGACTGTATTGTACTGCTATAAGATTAGACACATTGATGTCAGTCAGAATAGAAACCATCAAAAGACCCACACACGTACACAAAAATTTAATTTATGAAAGAGGCAGTGTTACAAATCACTGGGGAAAGGATGAACTTTTCAGTAAATAGTGCAGAGACAACCACTTTGAAATATGAAAAATGTTAAATTGAATTTCTAACTCCTAATTTTCACAAAAATCAATTCAGGAGAGACTAAAGACAAATGTGAAAGGCAAAAGTATAAAATTTCTACAAGGCAGTAAAGAACATATTTATGACTTTGGGTAGGAAAGGATCTCCCCCCAAACCAACTTGTATTCAGCTTTATATGATACTTTTTAAAAACATTTACTTTCAGCAGGAAATAGGCAACAATCTATAACATTTTACAATTTCCAAACTCCCCTCCTCTAAAAGTCACTGTAAAAGTTAACAACATAGGTTGTTGCTGTTTTGAACAAGAAAGATTTTCAGAAAGGGTGGACACTTCACATGCCTGTATGAGCTTTTCACAGGCCCACTTCGACATGGAGGGAATAAAGTAAAACCAGCAGGATGGATCCACAAACTGAAAACAGGAATCTTGGCTCTTTTGAGTGACACCATCTCGATGTTATCAACAGAAAGCCTGAGTTTTGTTACCTAACACAGTTGATTTTAGGATTGCCAAGGCCACATCAAGACTCTTGGTGTAAGGAAGTCAAGTCTATGCTGATGGCATCAGGGAAAGAGGAGACACGAAGTTTTGGTTCCCCACACTGTAAGGCTTCTGTGCCAAAGTGGCTGACATGTGAATGTCAGAGAATCTCTCCTGGGAATCAAGGGAATCAAGAATAATCTTCAAACAGGACAGAAAATCCCATTTTCCCCTATTTCAATTCAGTTTCTGAGATACACCCTATTAGTGGTATTTGCCCTTTCCACAAAAGACAACAAGGAAGTGTCCTATGTGCTAACAACATAACTTAAAAAAGAGAGCCAAAATTCTACGGTTTTATAAAACTTGATTTAAAAAAATAGTATTTCAAACAGTAGAATCACTATAAGACAGAGCTATCAAAAATGTACATTTCACTTGGCATCCCCAGTGCCTTCTGCTTTCTGGGACTGGAGTGTAGAGGCATCTCGGTTTTTTGCAGGGTTGTTCCCATCCTTGCCAGCATCTGCTTTCCCCTTTCTCCCTTTGGGAAGCTTCTCTCCCTTCTTTGCAGAGGCCTTTTTAGGCCTGGGCTCTGGTTTTGGAGGAGCTGGTTTAGCAGATAACCGCGCTGATCTCCTCTGTGGCTCATCCTTCACCTTTGCTTTATCACCTTTGGCATCTCCTTTTGCCTTTCTCTTCGGCATGGTGGCAGCAGTGTTGGCAGGCGGCTTGAGCAGTCCTGGTGGGTGTTTCTGTCCTCCTCACACTGCTCCTGGAAAGATGTCTTTAACAAGACACAAAAAGTGTAAACCACAAAGGGAAAGACTGACCAATGTAAACATTAAAAATCAAATTTGACTATATTGTTAATAATTTGTGTATATCAAAAAAGACAGCACAGTAAAAGTAAAACAATAAGTTACCAGCTCGGCAAAGATATGTGTAACACATATAATGGACAAAATGTTAGAATCCTGAATACATAGAGCATTCCTACAGATCCATGAGAAAAGGACAAAATGAAAATTTTAAAACTATAGCAAAAAATGTTAACAAGTACTTCTTGGAAGCATGAGTGAGGAATAAGCACCTAAAAATAGATAAGAAGTACATATTAAAAGCATAAGACATAATATTTCATATCTATCAAATTGAAGAAAACCAAGTTGTCTGACAATATCAAGGACTCAACTGATAGGGAGCAATCAAAATGCTTATGTACTGCTGTGTGTGTATGCAAATTAGTGTATTTGCTTCAGGAAACAGTGGTTATTTGTAAAACACGCTGGAAACAGTGGTATTATGTAAAGCAATTTTATGTCTAGGTGTTTACTTAGAGGGATTCTTGGAGGTGTGGACAGGAGATCTCCACAAGAATGTTTCCAGCAACACTGTAATTTCAAAAACCTGTAAATCACCCAAATGTCCTTCAATAGTAGAAGGGATATATATATTTTGGTAGTATCTATAAAAGGGAATACTATTCAGCAGCAGAAACAAATACATTACAGCTAGGTTCAAAAACGAGGATCAATCTCAAGAATATAATGACGAACAAAAATAGCAAGTTGCAGAAGAATATGTACACTATAGATCCATTTACACATGTAAAACTATGACATGTTGAGGCCACAAACATATAGCAAAACTTAAAAAAAAAAAAAAAGGCATAAATAAAAATTGGCCAGTGGTTATCTCTTGGGAGTTGGGAAAGGGATGTGGTTGGAGAAGGCATGTAGGTTAGTCCAGAGATGGGGGATGTTGAGTTCTCTTCTTTAAGCTGTAGGGGAAGCACATGGGCGGAGTATTATCTGTCTTACACAGAAAAATTGTATGTGCCTGCTCAAGAATTAATAAAAATACTAAAAAATGTGGGTAGCCCAGAGCACAGATTGAGAGCCACACAGGTAGGAAATAGAAAAGAGTTTGAGTTTGGGTAATTAGGACTTAGGCCTAGGGCTGGCACTCACAGGCACTGTGTAACTTTTTTAAAGCTTTTGTCTATCATACCTTCTGCCCCACCCTTGAAAACATTTTCTGGGAAATTCTGTAACCTTGTGAGTGGCCCCATTCTACAATGTTATTATTATTTTTTTAATCTTGTCTCCAAATTGCTCCAGTTTTGAATTTTTTTGTTTTGTTTTGTTTTTTTAGATGGAGTCTCAGAGTCTCCCTCTGTCACCCAGGCTGGAGTACAGTGGTGTGATCTCATCTCACTGCAACCTCTGCCTCCCAGGTTCAAGCAGTTCTCCTGCCTCAGCCTCCCAGGTAACTGGGATTACAGATGCCCACCATCACACTCAGCTAATTTTTGTATTTTTATTAGAGATGGGGTTTCACCATGTTGGCCAGGCTGGTCTCAAACTCCTGACCTCAGGTGATCCACCTGAGAATTGCTTGAAACCGGGAGGCAGAGGTTGCAGTGAGCCGAGATCGTGCCACTGCACTCCAGCCTGGGGGATAGAGTGAGAGCCTGCCTCAAAAAATAAATAAATAAATAAAAAAGTAATGGTGCCACTGAGACATACAGTTCTACTGATCTAACTACACCTGACCTGCTCTCTTCTGAAGAAATCCTTGCCATTACATAAATTTATTGCTAATTTTTGTCCTTTTCCCTTTCTTTCAAATGCAACATTAAGGAATCATTTTAACAATTTTTAGGAAACAAAAGGAGCTACTCTTACAATGAAGGAACCAGTGAGAATCACTTGGTCTAATAGTAGGGTGACTTGATTTATACCTGTTGCCCTAGTATAATTATTCATAATGTTACCTTTTACTTTGAAAAGTGACCCAACTTGGGCAATGAATAATAAAAAAGGTTATCCCAAATATTCTGCATATATTTTTAGAGACCTTTATGTTACCAGAGAATGAGAGTGTTTAACCAAAGAGTGAGCTTTTGGCCTAGCACACATTTCCCTAAGAATGGATACCCCATACCATTCTCCTTCCATCTCACTTCAAAATTGTTTCTCAGCCCATTTCCTGGTGTGGGAATGCTCACACAATCTCTTTTCCTGGGTTCAGTTTTCTTCAAGTTAGATCCATTGCAGTCCATCCCAAGTAGGGGGGCCATTATCTCCACATGTCAAAGGCCAAAATACAGCAGGTGACAAAATAAAATCAGGAAAAATAGGCTACTGCCTGGATGCTGTATCTGAGTATATAAATAACGATTTAATTCTTGAAACTCACCTTTAGGAAGCTGATTAGGAGACCAGGTCACCGACTCTATAGAGAACTTACAAATGTAGGAGACAGATACACATATAATGAAAAGGGGCCAGAGAGATGGGTAAAAACTCTTACTATTTCCATAAAGGACAAGGAGGTTCGAAAAGGAAGGAGCTCTCACCACACAGTGGTTTTAACTTAGAAGAAATTATCTGAGGTGGCACGGAAGGGATTTTTAGGTAAATGAAACTCTTTTGTATGCTGCTGTAATGGCATATGTTATATAATGGTAGATGTTATCAATTTGACAAAACCCACAGAACTTCATACAGTGAGTGAACCCTGATGTAAACTATATATTTTAGTTAATAATAAGCTGTCAATACTAGTTAATCATTTGTAACAAATGTACCACACCAGTGCAAGTTGTTAATAACTTAGGAGAAACTGAGGTGGGGGAAAGGAAGTATGTGGGAACTCTCTGTTCAATTTTCTGTAAACCAAAACTTGCTCTAAAAAAAGGAAGTCTATTAATGTAAAAACAATACACATTTTAAGAGTTCAAAAAAATAATGTTAATGATAAAATATAAAAGTCATTACAAATACTCCTTCATGCATGTGGAAGAAATGAATATTAACTAGCAGATAAATCTTACTAGTAATTGTGTAACTTTTGGAAACAGAGAGAAATGACTTTCAGTGGTATCATCAGGGCAAGAAATTATCAAGACACATACTGAAGTTATTTTCCCAAGACATGGCAACAATTTAAAAAGTTTTAGAAATATAACAATTCCCCTTTGTTAAAATAACTCTTCCAATAACATTATATTAACAAACAACAGAGCAAGTTAGTGAAAGTTTTGAATCACTCCTCTTCATTGCACAGAACTGGACTGAAATTCTCATGAACGTTCTCAATTTAACTCCTCATTTAATGAGATTGCTGTAGGAGAGAAGGAACATCTGCTTCATCCTTCTTCCAATCCTTTTGTTAGCATGAAGACTTGCATTTTTATCATCAGAAAAAGATCATGATGTTTAAATTAACTGGCAGAAATAGCTTAAAAAGAAAAAACTAATAGTGAAATAAAAAGCAAAATAGGGTCTTATGGGTGGGCCCTAATTCGAATGACTGGTGTACTTATAGGAAGAGGAGATTAGGATACAGACAACATAGAGGAACACATCTAAGGACGTAGTGGGAGGCAGCCATCTGCAAGCCAAGGAGAGGCCTCAGAAGAAACCAAACCTGCCGACATCTTGATCTTGGACTTCTACCCTCCAGAAGTCAAAGAAAATTAATTTTTGTTGTTTAAGCCACCCAGCCTGTGGTACCTTGTTTTGGTAGCCCTAGCGGACTAACATAAGAGGGAACAGTGTAAGAATTTAGTGACTTTGGTAGAGCATGGTGGCTCATGCCTGTAATCCCAGAACTTTGGGAGGCCAAGGTGGGCAGATCACGAGGTCAGGAGTTCAAGACCAGCCTGGCCAACATGGTGAAACCCTGGCTCTACTAAAAAATACAAAACTTAGCCAGGGCTGGTGGTACGTGCCTGTAATCCCAGCTACTCAGGATGCTGAGGCAGGAGAATTGCTTGAACCTGGGAGGCAGAGGTTGCAGTGAGCCGAGACTGCACCATTGCACTCCAGCCTGGGCAATAGAGTGAGACTCTATTAAAAAATAAATAAATAAATAAATAAATAAATAATTTAGTGACTAGGGAAACATCTTGGATTAATTTGGGGGTCTCACCCAGCTCTCAAAATATATTTTTCCATGTTTTTTCTCTTTCATAGCAAGCAAATCCATGGACCAAAATGCCACCTCATTCAATACTCATTTTCACCTCATCCCTAGCAAACACAAGGCACATTTTAGCAGCATCTTTTTGCTCTTTCAATGGATACAGAACTGTGTTTCTGGGAGGTAGTTCTAACTTGGGTTTTAGCCTCAATCCCACCCCAAAATCAGAAGGCTCCCCTCTTCTTCCCTGCCTCTTACTTAAGGAAAGATCGTGTTTGGGGGTTGCAAGGAAGACGTGGAAGAAAGTTATGAACACCAAGCTTAGGAAGGAGAGAATAAAGGATATAATTAAAATACAATAAAAAATCACAGGCAATGCTGGGCGCAGTGGCTCACGCCTGCAATCCCAGCACTTTGGGAGGTGGAGGCAGGTGGATCACTTGAGGTCAGGAGTTCAAGACCAGCCTGGCCAACATGGTGAAACCCATCTCTACTAAAAATGCAAAAATTAGCTGGGTGTGGTGGCACATGCCTATAGTCCCAGCTACTTGGGAGGCTGAGGCAGGAGAATCACTTGAGCCCGGGAGGCGGAGGTTGCAGTGAGCCAAGATTGCGCCACTGCACTCCAGCCTGGGTGACAGAGCGAGACTCTGTCTCAATAAAAAATAAAAAATAAAAAGATTAACAGGCAAGATGCTGTGTGCTATAGAAGCAAGAGGTCACATGGTGTCAGTCACTCTCCAGGGCCTGTTTGTTCTTCATCTTCCGAAGTATTAGAGACGCAGCATGAGTTTCCATGGGAGTTAAGTGAGAGAGACTGGGAGATGCAGGGGTAGAAAGGAAAGATGAGAAAAGGCAGGGTGTCTAAAACGGTAGGTTTGCTGTTGCAGCTTGCCAGAATGCATCTGGTTTAAAGAGAAGGAATGAGCCATAAGCTCCCAAACAGTCACCCATCTGTAAAGGTTGGTTAGAGGCACACTCAGCTTCCAGGCTAAAGTATTCCTGCTAACTGGCATCAGAGAGAGATGAAGAGGATAAATTCTTGTCATCTCCCAGGACCCTGGAACCTCTGCCCCCTTTCAGGGCACCACAATAACTTGCTTATAGAAAGGGGATTTTAAATGAAAATGTATTAGACAGATTGCTATTGAGCACATGGCCAAGTTTATTGTCTTGCTAACCAAGATATTATCTTGCTAGCCAAGATGTTGTCTTGTTAAGGGAAACAGCAAGATGACAAAGAATGGACCTTTCAAGTCAACATCTATCCAAGCAGCCTGTTTAAGAAAATGGTAAAAAGAAAACAGCTCATTAAACATTGTCCTTTTCTTTATTTCTTTTTTTTTTTTTTTTAAATTTTGCAGACCCACCAAAGAATGCAGCCCTTCTTTTGTCGTAGTCATAAAAATATCACATTCGGTCGGGCGCGGTGGCTCACGCCTGTTATCTCACTTTGGGAGGCCGAAGCAGGCGGATCACTTGAGTTCAGGAGTCTGAGACCAGCCTGGCCAATATGGTGAAACCCCCGTCTCTAACTAAAATACAAAAATTATCCGGACGTGGTATTGCACACCTGTAGTCCCAGCTGCTCAGGAGTCTGAGGCACAAAAATCGCTTGAACTCGGGAGGTAGAGGGAGGTGCAGGTTGCAGTGAGAGAGATCGCACCATTACACTCCAGCCTGGGAGATACAGTGAGACTCCGTCTCAAAAACAAACAAAAACAAACACATCGCATTCGTATCAGTCATTTGAGGGAACCTGGAGCAATGTGATCTAAGAGGCTAGGCTTGGCTAATCCCTAGAAAAAGTAGTAATACATCTAAGAAAGAAATCTCTCTGAGGGTAGACCCCAGGCTGCCAGGTGGCACAACAAAACTTTCTCATAAAAGCGTTTGATTAATCCAATTAACTTGTAAGCAAGCCATGTGGCAGGCAGAGGTAAGAGGCCAAACACCAAGGCACAAGTCCTGATTCTAAACAAGTGCTGGTCCATTTCTTAAGCTTGGATCCATTTTTTCTTTGTGATGGGATAGCGAAAGGTCAAAGTGGAGGAAGACTCAGCCCTTGGGTGTCTCCTCAACGAGGGTTTCTCGAAGGTAAATTGGGGAGGAAAGGAGAGCCCACGGCAGGCCAGTCCAAACTGCCAGTCACCACCTCTTCGAGGCCACAGCCCTGCGGGAGCAATCCTTTCAAATCCCCTTCTTTCCTTCTTTTATTGGCCCAAGAGCGCCGATTAGGACTTCTCATCCCTGTCGGGCCTGCGGCTCTCTGTGACCCCACCTCTGGATTCAGCTTTTCCCAGGGATTCACACTCGGAGCTCAGGAGAGATGCTGCGATTACTCTGGAGACGGGAAGACAGGCGGGGCTGACGGGGCCCAAGGCCCTTAATCATGACCGGGGCCAGCTGGCAGGAGGGTTCTAAGTATATGGAGGGCGGCGGGACCCCCCCACCCCGCCCCTCATTTTCCCGGGTAGCGTACTAAAGTCTGTGAGGCACTTACCCGAGTCTCGTGGCCGTCCGAGGGGCACGGGAATCCCAGCTGAGGCCCTTGACGCGCCGGAGCCCTAGGCGTGGGCAGGGCCAGCACCAGCCCCAAGATAGAGAAGACGAGGGGAGCCCGGCACTGCCAGGAACAGGAAGGCGAAGGAAGGTGAGGATGCGCTTCCGGGGCTGCAGGCGGGGAGCCGCCCCGAGTTCAAGCCGGAGAGAGCCGGTTCTCCCGGTGGCGATACGTGTGTGAGCCTCTGAGGCCCGCCCTAAGCACCGCTGCCCCGACCTCGTAAGACAGGAAGACAGGAAATTTATGATGGCCTGAAAAATCGTTAAAAGATACACACTGTAAGAATTTCGTAGTAGGAAGGGGGGGGGAAAAAAAAAAAAAGCCGTGTTTCCGCCCGGTTTCGAACCGGGGACCTTTCGCGTGTGAGGCGAACGTGATAACCACTACACTACGGAAACTGACCGGCGGCTGTCATCTCAGAGCAAGCAGTTCTATCTGTATAGTAAATACACTTGGTGTTTCTTCGTTCCAAGTGCCAGTTTTGCTGATGTGCGCATGCGTCTCTGTACTGAACTCTCAAACCAGAAAAACCAATGAACAGCTCAGACCTAGCCTCTCCAGTGTTAAAACTGAAGCCACATGCAGTCATCTCAAACGACTGAATAGGGAAGAACACGATAGAGACTTTAATATCTCTGAACGGTCCTTCGTTCTTCGGCCAAAATGGTCAGGCGAGGCTGGGCACGACTTTGGTAGGGCGAGCGTTTCTCTGACGTAGTTGGCGTTACCACGTGGTCAGTGGCAGAATTTGCTCCCCAGAGAAATGATAACCCCATATCTTGTCGAAAGCGGCCCCTCTCGCTTCTGAGACTTCCAGGCAAATTTACCTTGCACGAATTCGCTTACTCCGGCGGAATCGGAAAGTTGTAAAATAAACCTGTACGTATACCGAGCCAGCCAGGAGTCGAACCTGGAATCTTCTGATCCGTAGTCAGACGCGTTATCCATTGCGCCACTGGCCCCACACGGTTTCTGATAGCAGGGTATTTCATAAGAAACTAGGTTGTACCCGTAATGTCTGGGCGCGGGCCTGTAAGCCGCGTTTGCCCGCTGGTCCAGGCTCGCAGTGCACGGACTCCCTGGTGGCTACTTCTGCACACACCCCGTAGCCTTCATTCCTTTCTCGGTCTGTCTCTGCCGGCTGAAAGATGGCGGTGAAAAGCATGCCCTGCATCCTCTCTGCCCCAGTATCACCGCTCCATTAATACGTTCGTTCATTCAACCAGTATTAGTGTTCAAGGCACTGTAGATAACGGTGAAGAAAACATGAGAGACCCTTGCCCTCAAGATTACATGGCAGTGGCGGAAGCGGATAATAAAGCACTAAATAAACGAAATAATAGTGATAAGCAATTGGAGAAAAATAATAATAAAATAGGGAAAGAGGATAGGAAAGGCCAGCAGTGAAAGCGATGAATGAGAGATAAATGCTGATATCAGGGGAAAAGAGTGATCTGGAACAGGGAAAAAATCGCTAGGTAAAAGGCCTGGAGGTGGGAGCAGGCTTGGGAGTTATGTTGTGGAGGCCGGTGCTCAGTGGAGAGGAATAGGAGATCCTGGGAGACCACCTCCGGCTTTATAGGCCCTTGTAAGGACTCTGGCCAACTTTACAGGCCCTTGTAAGGACTCTGGCTGGTATTCTGTAGGAAACTGGAAGCCGTTGTACAGTGACATGGTCTGAGTTTTTATTTGTCTCTTTGTGGTTCTTTTTTTTTTTTTCTTCAAATATTTTACTAAGCAAAACTGTGCTAGGCCTCCTCACTGCATGCTGCTTCTACTGCAGGGCCTTGATCTCAGAATTTGACAGCTTTATAAGTAGCATCAACCCGGACACACATATGAATATTCACTTGTTCACTTTGAAAGCAAACAAACGTCTCATATGTGTGTGTTTTAGTTTGTCCATATTTCTGAGAATAAATCATCCCCATGCCTGATGAGCATTTTAAGTAAGTTGAGGTCTACTACACAGGAGTAAAACTGCCTGATATTGAGAATATACACATTGAGGTTAGAAAATATTTGTTTTCAGTTCATAAGGTTTCAACAGCCCTTACAAAAAATATTCTGCTCTTTCTGCATAAGCGTTAAGGTAGGCCTAGGTTATGGATTCCTCCCTAGGCAGTAGCATAGGGATCTTCTCGTTAGGTTTTGTACGATGGACCCCAAGGGCAGCTTGGCGATTCTGGACTCTATCTCAGAATAATACTTCTGAATATACGAAAGAAAAAATAAATATGTAAGATTTCAAAAGAAAACTAATTATGTTAAAATAGGTTACCAAAACTTTTTTTTTTTTTTTTTTTTTTTTTTGAAACAGAATTTTGCTCTTATTGCCCAGGCTGCAGTGCAATGGCGCGATCTCGGCTCACCGCAACCTTTGCCTCCCGGGTTCAAGTGATTCTCATGCCTCAGCCTCTCAAGTAGCTGAAATTACAGGCATGTGCCACCACGTTCGGCTAATTTTGTATTTTTAGTAGAGACGGGGTTTCTCCATGTTGGTGGGGCTAGAGCATCCCTGGAAGTCACAGGTCCCACCTAGCACTTTAAAAATGGACTTTAACCCAGTTGGTTGTTGGCTCTGTCCACATTCACTCTCCTCAGTGTTTGTCTATAAAAATTTATCTGTGTTTTGCAGGCTTTGAAGACCTCCCTTGGGTACCTCAAATTTCTTAGCTATATTCACTACAAGAAATGCTTTCGGCTGGGCGCGGCGGCTCATGCCTGTAATCCCAGCAGTTTGGGAGGCCGAGGTGGGCGGATCACGAGGTCAGCATATCGAGACCAGCCTGGCCAACATCGTGAACCCTCGTCTCTACTAAAAACACAAAAAATTAGCCTGGCGTGGGTCCCAGCTACTCGGGAGGCAGGATAATTGCTTGTATCCGGGAGGCGGAGGTTGCAGTGAGCCGAGATAGCGCCACTTACTGCACTCCAGCCTAGGCGACAGAGCGAGACTGTCTCAAAAAAAAAAAAAAAAAAATGCGTTCGCTTTGTTTTTGGAAATCTTTCTACGTCTTTTCTGACAGTTCCAGTTTCAACTTCCAGTCTTTTCTTCAGCATATATCGGAGAAACAGAGTGCAGATATATAAATCTAGGTATATATTTATACATATCTAGGGTGAGGACTGACAAGTCTGAAACCTGTAGGGTTGTAGGGCAGGCTGGAAACTCAGGCAGAAGCTGACGCTGAAGTCTTGAAACAGAATTTCTTCTTCCTTAAGGAAGTCTTTGTTTTGCTCTCAAAGCCTTTTAACTGATTGGATAAGGCCCATCTACATAAAGGAAAATCTTTATTTAAGGTTAACTGATTGTTGACCACATTTACAAAATAACTTCACAGAAACATGTAGATTAGCGTTTAATTGAATAACTGGGTAATATATAGCCTAGCTAAGTTGACACATACATCTATCACAGTGGTGGACTCTTCTCCTCTGTGTTTCAGTGCAGTTTTTTTCAGTTTCACTCCCAGGTATATGGAAAACTCCACCATCTGCCACTCTCACATTGTTTTACGTGACTGTCAGCAGGCTGTGACACAGCCACCTGCATCCTCTCCAATTTCAGATGTGTGGAGCGGAGCCAACGTGAGAGTTCCACGGTTCATCCTAATCACAGTGGGAACTGAATAGAAGATACGGTTCACACCAAGAGTTCTGTAAATGATTGCTCAAAGTCTCAATTTGCTTCCAAGGCTTATCTCTGGCTAAACAACTCCTTTGACATCCTAGAAATTCTGTGCAAACTTCGTCAGCTGCCAGTCAAAGGAAAAACCAAAATAAAATACTATTGGCTCTGCTGTCTAGTGCCTGCCACAGTTGGGTTAAAGCCATTTTAGGTGTGACTGTGCTATTTATGATGATTATATTGGCTCCAAGCACACTCATAATATGATGGCTAATCGTATAATAATAAAGTAATAAGTGCTTATTCCATGAGTCTCAATCAAAGTGAGTGCTGAGTTCATAGACTTGCATCTTTTTATAAAAATGAAAACTCTAGTCGGCGTGGCCTTTTACTGTTCCCCCCATCACATATATAGGCAAAGGTACATGCCAATGTCTGCCTTAGATTGTGACAGAGAAATCCTCCAAATATTGATACAGCTAAGAAATACTGAAATGTCTGTTTCAGCATAATCACCAGGACAACAGATTTCAAGTAAAAAAGCCAAATATAATTACAGGTTTCATTTGGGAAGTTACTTTCACAGCTGTGCCAACAATTTGGATACTCTTCAGAATTTCATTAAACCCCTTTGTTAAAATTATACTCCCAAGATCAGATTTATTTTTAATAGAGAACAGAATAAGTTGGGAACACATAAGCCCCCATGACGATATAGAATTTTTTTCTCTATGTACACACACACACACACACACACACACACACACACACACACACACACACA